AAGATTATGTGATAAAATCCTATATATTTATATTTGCGAAGCATATTTTTATTAAGAAGTGCAGTCTACTACTTCTTGTTCTTTTCAAAATAATTTGCACAACATTTACCTAGCAAATATATTTTTAAGGTTCCATTATTTAAAAATCTTATACTTGTATCTAATTTAACATCTTTCAGTGACTTATTGCCAATAGTCATTAGAGCCATTAAATAAGAAAGCAATTTTTAATTATACTGGGTGCCAGTATATAAAAATAGATTAGGGCTTGTTATATCTATACTTTGAAAAAGAATGACAAACATTTTCTTATTCATAAAATTCAAAAAACTTTACATATATTTTTCATATATTCACAATGATAAAATTTATTTAAAAATGTCGTTACACATATCTTTAGGTTATGAAAAAAGGAAGTGGTAATATCAATAACTATATCTTTAAACCTTCCACCTCGCAAACGTGCCTAAACTATCGTCTGATGTGTGACGTCCAATAATGTTGTTGGGTGACGATGTCGAAGAATCGGAGGATTCTGCTCTTGGCAAAGTATTCCACAAAATTGGACGTGTAAACAGAGATCTAAATATTATTTTCAATTTAGTTTCACCAATCGGTTATTGATACTTTCGTCCCATTCACAAAAACTAGATGGGCAATTGCCCTGTCCTTGCTATCTCTATACATTTTGCGTGTATATTATGTCCAAGTAACGTTATTTATTACTTATTTTTCTTTAGCAGGGCTTTCACATAATTTCTTACGCTCTTGCGATTTATCTTCTCAGCCTTTTTATCTCGTTTATATCGCCCAAGGTTGATCCAGCATTTGCTGATATTTTAGGTAGACGCTTATTTATTCTATCCACCTTAGATGAAACTCCGACATTGCCAAGAACTGAGGGCGATGAGTTCAGACCATTTATTCCTAGACTCTTGGAAGCAAAGTTTTGGTGAGTCCTGGTTGCTCTTGCCATTAATAATACCTCGAAATCACTGTTGGTT